GAACTTTCTAATGAAAGTTCTCCTGCCCGCTAGGAGGGCTATTTATCCCTTCTGTCAATACTTCATTTCAGTATATTCTGCCCACTCTCCGCCCTCTCCCCAGGCCCAGGCTTATCCATCTGAGAGAGGAAGTAACCAGTAATTTGAGCATGCACAGGAGGCTCTGGTTTGGGCAATCAGGTCAGCAGTGTTTTTGAATTTTTGTTTCTGCTTTGTTGAGGGCTGAAGAGGAAGATAGGCCCTTGGGTTACCAGTGAGACAGAAAAAGGGGAGGAAAATACAGAGAAACAATCAGATTCACATTTTGGGATACAAATCCACCACAAATGCAAGTTTATAATACCTATCTGGACTAAAAGTTTGTTCTCTCCCCTCCAGTCCTGTATCCTTCCTCAAAATGTCAGTTTGGTATTTCTCCCTCATCAGTACCTTTGTTTCAACCCTCCTGAACACATCTTCCAATCGTGCCCCAATACTTTCATTGACAAAGTCTTTTCTTAATCATCACATATACACTGTAGTAGTGGCATCATTTTCCAGTTATTCTTTTCTCACACTTTCATTTACCCTAGTTGATTCTAACCAGCCATCCCCAACCATTAGTTATATTTTCAGTTTGCTCTCGAATTCTCATTTACTCACAATCTGGCTTCTGTCTGCTTCTCTTTACCAAGACAAGTCTTGTTTTGGTCCAATTAATGAGTTTTTTTTTTAACAATCCATGTAGTTTGGTACAATGGCTCACTCCTTCTGTGAGCAATTAGGTTCTGTTATTAATTAGGTTTGTACATAATCACCATTTTTCCACATTTTTAGCTTTCTGGTTGTGACTGTAATAATATCTTTGAATAATTTTCCTTTTTTTTTTTTTTTTTGCTTTACTTACTCCTTTTAACCAACACAACAGTGGTTCTACACTTTCCTTTCTTTCCTGAAGATGATTTAAAAATTCTATTCCATTTTTGTAAATCTTTAATGTTGAGCCTCTTTCCTGTCTTTTTGATGCTCTGAAACAGATTGCTTGGATTCTATGTTTCGAAAGACTGCTTATAAAGCAATAGCAGCAGGGTACAATTCAGACTTCTCACGCTTCTTTAAACACCAGTTCTTTCAGGTACTTTTATTTTCTTTCTTTCTTTTTTTTTTTTTTGAGATAAGAGTCTCACTCTGTTGCCCAGGCTGGAGTGCAATCGTGCAATTTCGGCTCACTGCAACCTCCGCCTCCCAGGTTCAGGTGATTCTCCTGCCTCAGCCTCCTAAGTAGCTGGGATTACAGGTGCCTGCAACCACTCCTGGCTAATTTTTCATATTTTTAGTAGAGATGGGTTGGCCAGGCTGGTCTCAAACTTCTGCCTTCAGGTGATCTAGCCACCTCATCCTCCCAAAGTCCTGGGATTACAGGCCTGGCCTCAGGTTTTTAATGTAACCCAAAGATAAGAAATCAACTCAATGTCGTTGGGGACACTGACCTTTCTTCCCAGATTCAACCCATGTGTTTTCTATTTTTACTCTGTACTTGAGTTTTGTTTGTCACTGTAATTTGTAAACTCACTGGGTAGGAAATAATTGTTCCTCTTCTAATTTAGAATAGCCCCAAGCACATGGTTATTAATGGTAACATGCTTTAAATGTCCTTGGATATAAAATGAACCATGTTAAACATCACTTGAGATTTTCACTTTTATTTTTCTTCATTCTTGACTTGCAGATTTGATACTGTATATTCTCAATAGGTGGTTTTCATACAAGAATGGGGTCAGTTCTTGTACCTTTTCTGAAAAAGATTTCCTGCCTCAAATGCTGTGTATCTGTTGAACTTTTCAGCTACCATGGTTTCCAATGTTTGGAGTTACAAACATTGAAAGAAAATACATTATTTTGGCACCAAGATCTAGATAATTCCATCTCCCAATGCAGTTTAGTGGTTATTAGTGTGGCTTTGAATCTTGGCCCTCTTAGTTCTTCATTTTGTCACCATAAGCAAGTTTCTAACAGAAAATTATGGATAGTGATAACCGAACTTTGAGTTTCTGTGAAAAATAAAGGAAATAATTTACAGTTGAAACTTGAACAAGTTGGGGGTAGGGGCACAAACCTTTTGCATAGTCAAAATCTGCATGTAACTCTTATTTTTTTTTCAGAGACAGAGTCTTGCTGTCGCCCAGGCTGGAGTGCAGTGGTGCAATCTCAGCTCACTGTAACATCTGCCTCCCAGGTTCAAGTGATTATTTTTGTTTTTCTTCTTTTTTTTTTAAAGATGGGGTTTCACCATGATGGCCAGGCTGGTTTTGAACTCCTGACATCAGGTGATCCACCCACCTCAGCCTCCCAAAGTGCTAGGATTACAGGCGTGAGCCACCATGCCCGGCCTCAAGTGATTCTTTTGCCTCAGCCTCCCAAGTAGCTGGGACTACATGTGTGCACCACCATGCCTGGCTAATTTTTTTTTTTTTTTTTTTTTTTTTTTTTTTTTTCCCCACCTGCCTGGGCATTTTTTTTTTTTTTTTTTTTTTTGTATTTTTAGGAGAGACAGGGTTTTGCCATGTTGCTCAGGTTGGTCTTGTACTCATGAACTCAGGCAATCTGCCTGCCTAGGCATCCCAAAGTGCTAGGATAACAGGCGTGAGCCACTGCGTTGGGCCAAAATCTATGTATTACTCGACTCCCCAGAGCTTAACTATTAAGAGCAACTATTGCCTGGAAGCCTTACCGATAACATAAATGGTTAATTAATACATATTTTGTATATGTTTTATATATTGTATTCTTACAATAAAGCAAGCTAGAGAAAAGAAAACATTAAGAAAATCATAAGTAAGGCCGGGCGCGGTGGCTTACGCCTGTAATCCCAGCACTTTGGGAGGCCGAGGCGGGTGGTTCACAAGGTCAAGAGATCGAGACCATCCTGGTCAACATGGTGAAACCCCGTCTCTACTAAAAATACAAAAATTCAGCTGGTCATGGTGGCGTTTGCCTGTAATCCCAGCTACTCAGGAGGCTGAGGCAGGAGAATTGCCTGAACCCAGGAGGCAGAGGTTGCAGTGAGCTGAGATCGTGCCATTGTACTCCAGCCTGGGTAACAAGAGCGAAACTCCGTCTCAAAAAAAAAAAAAAATCATAAGTAAGAGAAAATATATTACTATTCATTAAGTGCAAGTGGATCATCATAAAGGTCTCCATCCACTTTAGTAGGCTGAAGAGGAGGAGGAGAAAGACAAAGGATTGATCTTGCTATCTCCAGCTTAGCAGGGGCAGAAGAAAATCTGCAAGGGGACCTGCAAAATTCAAACCTATATTGTTCAAGGGTCAACTGTATCGGAAACATTTGACTACATGAACTAAGTGATTATGATCATTGGTCTGAAATAACGATTTTTAGAAAGTGAGTTTTCTATGTCACTGATAGAGATGCCCTATACTGAAATACTGAGATTATCAATACCTTACCTGTACCACAAATGTATTTTTTGACTCTTTAATTTCTGTTTCTGTTTCTATAATATTTTGAATTCCTAACATAATCCAGAGGGCTGGGAGATACCCCTAATGAATGAGAGAAACCTGGAATATTCTCCTACTTATCAGATCGCTTCCTCTCATACCCAAGTTTTGAGATATAAAGTTGTTACAAAGTTCCATTTTATTTGGTATCATTCAAAATCTGATGAACTTGCATTTTAAGAAGCATTGATCAGTCCCATTTAAGGGCAGTTGGTATGAATTCACTTTATTTTACTTTATTTTTTTGAGACGTAGTCTCACTCTGTTGCTCAGGCTGGAGTGCAGTGGCACGATTTTGCCTCACTGCAACCTTGTCTCCTGGGTTCAAGCGATTCACCTGCTTCAGCCTCCCGAGTACCTGGTATTACAGGTGCATGCCACCATGCCCAGCTAATTTTTTTTTTTTTGTATTTTTAATAGAGATGGAGTTTCACCATATTGGCCAGGCTGGTCTCAAACTCCTGATCTCAAGTGATACACTCACCCTGCATCCCAAGGTGTAGGGATTACAGGCATGAGCCACCATGCACGGCCATGAGTTCACTTTAAATGAGCACAGAAAAATCTAGGGTTCCAACAGCCTTATCGTGCATCTTTTGCAGCCTGGTCAGACAGTAGGGTCTTTAGGTGATGGTGAAGTGACAGCTCTCAGTTGTCTTCTTTGGTAGCTAAGTGTTGGTTAATTCTAACAACAGGAATGATTGAGAAGTCCAAGAAACAATCTTCTTCACATTGCACTTTGTTACAGTTGACACTAATTTAAAAATTGGCAGGCTCTAGAACACAAAAACCTGCCCCCAAAGTACCTTTTCTGAAAAAGTTGTTTGTGTATCTGTTGAGCTTTTCATCTACTGTGGTTTCCAAGGAATGCACCTCTATCAAAAATGAGCTTAATTCCTAAAGAAATCAATTATTCATTCTTCCATTCAGCAACATCAACAAATATTGACAGCCCACCTTGAATCACACTGTGCTGGGCCCTGAATTTAGTGATGTTTTAATATTCCGGCTCTTGTCAGGGGCTTACAATATAGCTGGGCGGAAGAGGAAACATGCAAATAAATTAAAATGCAGAGTCCTATAAGGGAAATGAGCAGCCTAGGTGACCTAAGGTTTGGAAATAACATAACTAAAACTTCAGCTCCACAACTCAGTAGCTGTGTCCTTGGACAGGTCATGTCAGATCAGGAAAGGTGAGAATGAGTTGCCAAACGCATCACTCTGGGTTGGTTCCAGTTCTTGGCAGAGGGTCACATCGTGTCAGATGTGTCAAGGCAGGATAGGCTGCAGCAACCATTGTGGCGGAGAAAAGAGGTGTCGTCGCGCCCTTTGGCGCGGAAGAGGCGAAACAAAAGAGGCCCTCGGGGATGGCTCATCTGCTCAAGGGCCCTCGGGCCCTCAGGGATGGCTCATCTTCTCAAGGCGAAGCGCATGTGGCAGTTGGCGGGAAACCCTTGGGGGTGGAGCTTCAGCTCCCTGTCCGGCCGCCCCGTGCCACGTCATCGAGCAGCTCCCCCTCCCCTTGCTACAAGTCGCACGCACGGAAGTAAACAGCTCTACGTCATCAGGGCGCGTCCTCGCCTTTCCCCTCCCATCTCCTCAGATCGGAGGACGTGCTCGCCTCCACTCGGGGCCAGGTCTATGTCCCGGTTTCCCGCTGTCGCGGGCAGGGCGCCAAGGCAGCAGGAGGAGGGTGAGCGGTCAAGAGACCTCCAGGAAGAGCGGCCCTCGGCTGTTTGCATCGCCGATAGAGGTGCGGTCTGCGGGACGGTACGGAAGCCAGCGGGAGTTAATTCCTGGGGGTTTGTAGGGGGGAATGAAAGTACGCCTGTGGCAGGCTGAGAAGAGTAGTGAGGAAGCCGCGGCGTTCTGCTAGCTTTCCAAGCCCGAGGCGAACTTTGCGTCCAATGAGCACTTTGCCTTAGAGGGGGGCGGTCCCAGATCCAAGTTGGGCGAAAAGCTTATTGGGGGGCGAAAAAGTGAACCCCAACGCCCGAAATGCATTCTGTTCTTAAACAGGCTCATAAACCCTTTGTTCTCTACCCATTCATCCTCCCCCCCTTCGTTGGGCCGCCAGCCTGCCTTTGGGTACGGTATGAAGGGAGCCAGTTTCCAGGAGCCAGTTTCCATGGTTACCCACCACTTGGCCTTCTGGGATATCAGTCACTCTGAACAGGGACCTAACTTGAACCATGAATCAGAAGCAAACACAGGTGGCTTCTAATCCAGCTGAGAATTTTCTGCTGTGTTCCAGTTTTTGGTCTATTGTTAAATAAAATTGGGCTTTGTGCTTCTGTGTAAGTATGCATGTGTATACGTTGCCTTGAGCTATACTTGCTTTGAAAAGTACTTTAAGTTACGCATGAACGAATGCTCAAGTTGCTGGATTTCACCAAAAAGTTGTTCTGGGCTTATAAACCCTTACTTACAAATGGTACACGAGCGATTTAACAGAGAAGTCATGGATGATCCCTTCTAGCGCTAAAATTATATTGCCTTTCTGTTTTTAGCCCTGAGAAATTGAGTTCTCCAGAGATATCTTTACAAGTCTTTTACTTGACTTAATTTTCTGTTATTACAGAAGAGAAAGGATGCACGTCCCAGGAGGGAGGAACTACTCCAACTTTTCCTATTCAGAAACAAAGAAAAAAGATTATTCAAGCTGTGAGGGACAATTCATTCCTTATTGTTACCGGAAATACAGGAAGTGGTAAAACAACTCAACTCCCAAAGTATCTGTATGAAGCAGGTGATTTTTTTCTGTGAAAATATTGGAAATATTTTAAAAATATCCTCTTTTTAAAGGCCAGTAGGATATCTGTACTGCATGATTGCCCACTATTTTATAGTCCCACTTCTCTTGCCACACCCCCTTCCCCCATGCTTCTTTATGGTCTATTTCAGTTTCAGGAATTAGTTGGGATAGCAAATTTTCCCGTTTTTCATTACCATAATAATCTCAAATAGGAGAATTACATCTAGATATTAATTCCCTTTTATAGAATAAGGTTGTCTAGCAGTAGACTATTAACCATTGGATACTGAAATAATTTTGAGGGGAAGAAGTATGTTGATACCTGTTGCTGACATTAGTATTTCTTGATTCTTTCTCTAGAGCATTATCAGGGAAATATTTATTTCCTGACTTTGCCAGCACAAGCCAACTGACAAGTTACCTTTAAAATATGTTAAGTAAAATTTATAGGAGGCCTTTGGTTTGGACTGATCTCCTGCACTAGACTCAACAGACCAAACCAAAATGGAATTACTCATGCTGAAGTTCCACGCCACCAAGTCTAAAAACTAAATTTTTTCATCTAATCAGAAATGAGGAGAAAGATATAATAGCCAAATTCCAAAACAGGCCAGTTTTAGCCAGCATAAAGAAGTTTCCTCTGCTTTAACTTTTACAAAAAAAGTAACTTTGAAATGAGCAATCTGCTTTTTGTTTTCTGTTTCTGCTTTCCTCAGCCCTTTTCTGTCTGTCAATCAGCCTCCTTTGCTCAGCTCATTGAAATACTCATTCTATTTTATGAGACGATAGGTTGATGTGATTCCGATTCTGGAATCACAAAAGCCAATTAAGATTTTTTAACTAAGTTTGTTGTAATTTTGTCTTTTGACAAGTGTTATTCCTTTCATAGAGTTTGTAAAGAACAGTATTATATTGGATATGATTTGCATTAACAAATAACAAAAATATATTAACTTATTCTAATGCTTCAAATCTAAGTTGCCATCTATTAAGACATATCACTATTTTATATGCAATAGTCCCCTTTTATCCTTAGGAGATGCCTTCTAAGACTACTCAATGCCTGAAACCACCAATAATATCAAACCCTGTATATACTATGTTTTTTCCTATACATGCATAACTATGATAAAGTTTAGTTTATAAATTAGGCACAGTAAGGGATTAATAACAATAAAATAGAACATTTATGACAATATGCTGTAGGAAAAGTTATGTGAATGTGGGCTCTCTGTCTCTGAAAGTGCTGTAATATTTTTGGACTTCCATTGGCTGTAGGTAACTGAAACTTTGAAAAGCAAAACCAAAGGTAAGGAGGGACTACTGTACTATTTAGAATGGAGGCTGGGCGCGGTGGCTCATGCCTGCAATCCCAGCACTTTGGGAGGCTGAGGCAGGTGGATCACATGAGATTGGGAGTTGGAGACCCACCTGACCAACATGGAGAAACCCTGTCTTTACTAAAAATACAAAATTAGCTGGGCGTGGTGGCGCACGCCTGTAATCCCAGCTACTCGGGAGGCTGAGGCAGGAGAATCACTTGCACCTAGATATTTATACACACACACACACACACACACACACACACACACACGTAGAGTGGTTATTAATATGTATTATTTTAAATTAATATTTAAATTTTCATGGTGCAAAGATAGCACAGTGTGTTTTTCATTTGCAGGATAATATTCTTTTGGAAACACTCAAGCAGTTTTGTATTGATTGGCCAAAAACAATTTAACTCTAGTAGGAATAAACAGTTGCTAATGTTATGTTTTTTTATCTCTGGTTTTGATAGGGTTTTCACAACATGGTATGATTGGTGTAACTCAACCACGCAAAGTAGCTGCCATATCAGTTGCTCAGAGAGTAGCTGAAGAAATGAAATGCACTTTGGGATCCAAAGTAGGATACCAAGTTCGTTTTGATGATTGCAGCTCTAAGGTACAAAAGTCTTGTTGATATTTGTTTCTTTTCTTATCGGGACAGGGTCTCACTCTGTCGCCTAGCCTGGAGTGCAGTGGCACAAACATGGCTCATTGTAGTCTCTACCTTCTGGGCTCAAGTGATCCTCTTGCCTCAGGCCCTTGAGTAGCTGGGACGACAGGAGCATGCCCCCATGCCCAGCTAATATTATGAATTTAACAGAAAGAGTGGAGACAGTTCTGGAAGATTTTTAACTTCAAAGTTCAATATATATACTAAAGAATTTATTGTTGTTGTCCATTGTTAATGCTTTAGCTCTCAAGTGTCTGATATTCATCCCATTTTCTCATTCCTCAATTATTTTATAAGTGACAATTTATTTTCTTAGGATCCTCTTATTTATGTATTTTAACTGTAAGGATTCTTGACTTGTAGGTTTTTAAAAATTTTTATTGTAGTAAAATATATATATAACTTAAAATTGACCATTTTACCATTTTGGTATACAGTGCCATTAAGTATGTTCACAATGTTTGGTAGCCACTACCATTTCTATGTTCAGAACTTTTTTTTTTTTTTTTTTGAGACGGAGTTTCACTCATGTTACCCAGGCTGGAGTGCAATGGCGCGATCTCGGCTCACCGCAACCTCCACCTCCTGGGTTCAGGCAATTCTCCTGCCTCAGCCTCCTGAGTAGCTGGGATTACAGGCACACACCACCATGCCCAGCTAATTTTTTGTATTTTTAGTAGAGACGGGGTTTCACCATGTTGACCAGGATGGTCTCGATCTGTTGACCTCGTGATCCACCCGCCTCGGCCTCCCAAAGTGCTGGGATTACAGGCTTGAGCCACCGCGCCCGGCCTGTTCAGAACTTTTTTTATCGTCCCAAACAGAAACTCCATTAAACAATAGATTAAACCCCCCATTTCTCCCCCACCAGCCTCTGGTAACTTTTTTTTTTGAGACGGAGTATTGCACTGTTGCCTGGGCTGGAGTACAGTGGTGCCATCTCAGCTCACTGGCCTCCTGGGTTCATGCCATTCTCCTAGCTAAGCCTCTCAAGTAGCTGGGATTACAGGTGCCTGCCACCGCACCCAGCCAATTTTTTGTATTTTTAGTAGAGACGGAGTTTCACTATGTTGGCCAGGCCGGTCTCAAACTCCTGACTTCGTGATCCACCCACCTTGGCCTCCCAAAGTGCTGGGATTACAGGTGTGAGCCACCATGCCTGGCCGTAACTTCTATTCTACTTTCCTGTCTCTACAAATTTGCCTACTCTGGGTACCTCATACAAGTAGAATTACACAATATTTTGTACTTTGTGTCTCTCTTGTTTCACTGAGCATGTTTTCAAGGTTCATTTATTTTGTGTGTTTGTATTCTTGAAGTCAATGGAAAACGGAATTAAAATCAATTAATCAACTTAATTAACAATATCAGCAAGTGTTAAGCATTCATGGCACCAACACATTTAAAATAGTTTCTTTTTAATGATGAATATTATAATTTACATTCCCTGAGGATTTCTTTATCCTGTCCCAGATACAAAACAATCTGTGGTTTACGTATGTTCCCTAATAGGAATGGCCATCAAACGTGGCACAAGATGACTCCCCAAAATACTGTTCTGGCTTCGTAGTGGTCACTGTTTGGGACTTTTTTTTTCTTCTTTCCCTTGTTTTATGGATGTCATTGCTGTTAGACCTAGCCTTTGGACCTTTTTCTCACCCCGTTTTAATGCTTGTTGAATAACACATTTTTATTATTTTGGCGATAGTGTCTTGCTCAGTCACCCAGGCTAGAGTGCAGTGACACAATCCCAGCTCACTGCAACCTCTGCCTCTGGCTCAAGCAGTCCTCCCATCTCAGCCTCCCAAATAGCTGAGACTACAGGTGCATGCCACTATACCTGGCTAATTTTTATATTTTTATTAGAGAGGCGGTTTTGCTGTGTTGCCCAGACTGGTCTTGAACTCCTGGACTCAAGTTATCCGCCTGTCTCAGTATCCCAAAGTGCTGGGATTACAGGATTGAGCCACTATGTCTGACCTAAGTAACACATTTGTTTTTGTTTTTTTTTGAGACGGAGTTTCTTGTTGCCTAGGCTGGAGTACAATGGTGCGATCTTGATTCACTGCAACCTCTGCCTCCTGGGTTCAAGTGATTCTCCTGCTTCAGCCTCCCGAGTAGCTGGGATTACAGGCATGTGCCACCACAGCCAGCTAATTTTGTATTTTTAGTAGAGATTTCTCCGTGTTGGTCAGGCTGGTCTCAAACTCCCAACCTCATGTGATCCGCCTGCCTCAGCCGCCTAAAGTGCTGGGATTACAGGCATGAGCCACTGTGCCTGGGCAGTAACACATTCTTTAATAGGACAATGGGGTAGAGAAGAGACGAGAGTGGGTGCAAAGTATGCACCTACCATTTTCTCGTTTTCCCTGAAACCTGTAAAATAGGGGCTGAGGCAGAAAGATACATCTCGTTTTACTGTTGTTTCCTACAACTTGCTCACCTAATGTCATTGCATCAACTTGCCACTTTCCTCTGACTTTATTGTATCTCCTTATTGGTGATTTTTGTTGCTTTGTCCAAGAATACCCAAGTGTTTTTACCTTTTGAGGAAAAATTTAGTTGGGGAAGCAGTGGTGAATTTCTGTGATACTATAAGTTGCTATACTCTGCTGTTTGAATGTTAGGAGACAGCAATCAAATATATGACTGATGGATGTTTACTGAAACATATTCTGGGAGATCCAAATCTTACCAAATTCAGTGTCATTATTTTGGATGAAGCCCATGAAAGGACTCTAACTACAGTGAGTATTTTAATTTATTGGTTTTTTTATTAGCAAGTAGTTTACTTGTTTGGGTAGCTTTTTACTATATAGAGAGTTGTCTCCTCTTGCTTTTTAAGTTTTTAGAGATAAGGTCTTGTTCTGTCACCCAGGCTGGAGAGCAGTAGTATGATCATAGCCCACTGCACCCTTGAACTCCTGGGCTCAAGTGATCCTCCCGCCTCAGCCTCCCAAGTTGCTAGTACTGCAGACGTGCATCACCATGTCTGGCTGATTTTTAAGAAAATTTTTTGTAGAGACAGTGTCTTGCTTTGTTTCCCTGGCAGGTCTCGACCTCCTGGCCTCCCACCTTGGCCTCCCAAAGTGCTGGGATTACAGGTGTGAGCCGCCGCACCTGGCTCTTACTTATATTTTAGTCTATTAAAATAGGAATTTCTTGGTTAGAATAGCAGTGTATTTAAAGTAGTTTGGCTGTTAGATATACTTGTGACTTAATAGAAATTTACTTTTCTTTCAGGATATCTTATTTGGTTTATTGAAGAAGCTATTTCAGGAGAAGTCTCCTAATAGGAAGGAGCATTTAAAAGTGGTGGTAATGTCAGCAACTATGGAATTAGCGAAGCTCTCTGCATTCTTTGGAAATTGTCCGATATTTGATATACCTGGAAGGCTTTATCCAGTCAGAGAGAAATTCTGCAATTTGATTGGCCCACGAGACAGAGAAAATACTGCATATATTCAAGCGGTATTAATTGGCATTCATTTAATGTCTTTTTTTTAATATCTGTGATTCTTATTAATTGGGTAGTTTGATAATTCACATGTTCCCTTCTCTTTTAATGACAGCCCTCACAGGTCCTAGAACTTTTCTTTTTTTTTTTTTTT